ATATATATATATTCTTTGCTCAATTTACTCGACTAGGTGTAGTGGAGCCAGTTGACATGACTTTGTTGAGTAAATTCAACACCATGTTTTTAGAGTGCAAAAACATCTTTCATGATGAGTTCAAATATTTTTTAATTTTGTAACAAGTAACTAGATGTTAAATTTTAAAGTAAAGAAGTAAAAGTATCATTTTTAGCTTTAAAATGTAACAAAATAAAAGTAAAAGTTAAAAAAATAATTGGTGAAATTACAAATCCTTTAAAAAACTACTTATTTACTGTAACAAAGTAAATGTACTTATAAACCTCTGGATTCTACTTAACATTTTGCTGCTTTTAGTCAATGTTATGCTTTTTAACTTAGGATTCACACCACATTTTGCAGAAAGTGCTATTTCTCTTGAATAATTTACACTTAATGTGTAAAATTCATGTGTAATCCTGCACTGAGAAGGATCCAGGGATTGTCTTGACTTACTCGATCCAGGAGCTCCTGCAGTAAAAACGAGGCTTGGACCTCCTGAAGCTCTATTAGATGGGTCAGAAGGAGCATGGCACAGTCATCCAGCAGAACCTGCGACCACTCTCCCTGTGTTAGGGTCTGAAAGTTTGTGTGCTTTGAAGGGGTCTGAGTCTCCCTTTGTTTCTGCAGCTGAGCATGGATTTGTCTCAGTCTCCTCAAACAGCCAGCCCTTAAAGAAGTCTGCCCACTGTCTGGAAGCCACAAAGAAGATGGCTTGATTGAAGAAATATAGTTGATTAAAAAAATGCGTGCATATTTGCTGTTTTTTTTAAGTATTCTGCAACCTGGCTCATGCAAATCCTCCACCGAAATCCCACGTAACACAGAGAGCAGCTGCTTCCTCTCCTGCTCCTGAACCCAAACCAGCAGCTGCAGCTCCGTCTGCTGCCAGAGGTTTTCTTTGGTTACTGATAAAATGCTGCAGTCATTGTGTATTAATAAAAATCTTAAACCATATAGAGCAGTGCTTAAGAGTGAACATGTGGTTCCACTTTTCATTCAAAGTTCGTCATCCAGTACCTGCTCTGGTGTCCTGATGGCCTCGTTCTCTTCTTCTCTCCCATGAAACCACAGGGCAACCTGTTCTGCGCTGCATGGACTGACAACACAAGGCCTTAACAGGAAGAAACACAACTGGAAGTGGGCATACAAATAAAGGAAATCTGCATCATTTTTCACTCGTTTATCGTCCCACCATGAATCCCAGGACTGACGAGCTGCCAGAAGAGCAAAGTGGGAGATTTTCTCTCTCTGAGCTCTGTAAGTTGCCAGGCGGATGTAGAGACACAACGATCTCAGACTCTCTCCACACAACCTGGAAGGAACAAGATTACGAAAGCGGTTATTTTAAAAATCTAATCCATATTAATCCTGTAAATAGGTCATTTTCCTGTTTAGTACACTGATTTGCAGCATATTTGCATGCGTTTACCTTTGACCCAGAGCTGTTAGTGTGATTTGTTCTTGTTTACGAAATGTGTGTAAGTCATTTAGGAGAGAAACAGCCGACCAGGACTGATTCCTGAGCTCTGAGCAGTTTCTTGAAGATGCATCTGGACACATCCTGCAGGTGAAGAGCTCTTTTACCATAATGCTTTTGAGATGCATTTTTTTAAATCACTTGAATTTTATCTTTCTTTTTCTTCTATTTTGGTTCTTTAGAATCAAAATGCTCAAAACGTCCATTTTCTGAGGACTCCTAAAGTATATTGATGCTAGAAGGTTACATTTTCTCAGAAAGGTTATTAAAAAAACAGATCAGTTTCTTCTTTTGTAAAACGTGTTATAAATTCCCCAGCAGCCAGCATGTTTTCAGACATGCTCTTCTTTGTAAAAAGAAGTTACTGTAGACTTATTATAGCCTTGAACTTTATAAACCTTTATGTTTGAGACCCAAATACTTCAATAAATAACTTTGTTGGTTTTAAAATCAATGATATTAACACTAACATTTTGGCACATGTCCTACAGGGAGGCACAAATAAAAAGGAGCACAATGCAATCTGACCAGATGGGGAGTTTAAAGGGATCCCCGATTAGTTGTAACATTAGACTTTATTTGATAAACATTTATTTTAACAGTAAAACAAAGACTGTGAAAATACTGTAGGCTGTTTAAATTTTATAATTTTTAAAAATATATTTTAACACGGACGGAGCCATTTTATTTACACTCAAATCATTCTGGGTAAATGATGATGTGGATAGGTCCTCGATGTGAGCGAGCTATATCCACCCTCAGCCTGTGAGCCTTTGCGCTAGTGCAGACACTATATTGCCTTATATTGTATTAGCTCGGCGCTATAGCTCGACAAACTAACAAGCTAAACTGAGGTCCTCCATCTATATTTTCAGTTGCAGGCTGAGTCATTTTTGTGTTCCCCTCTCTGTCATGTAGATGGAGGACCTCAGTGTCGAGAGGAGAATGTGTAGCACTGAGCTAATACATAATATGGTGATAGCATTGGGCCTAACGCTAAAGCTAACAGGCTAAGCTGAGGTTCTTCTTCCATGAAGCAGCTCTGTTGTCCTCCATCCATATTTTCAGTTACAGGCTGAGTCATTTCTACCTTCTCCTTCTCTGTCTCTGTCTGGTTTCATTTAAGAGTCGATCATCAGATATTGTCCAAGATTAACCTTCAGGGTGGATATAGCTCGCTCACACCGATGACCCATCCACCTCATCATTTACCCAGAATGCTTTGCGTTTGAATAAAATGGCCCCGTCCGTGTAATATATTTTTAACTTTTAGTTTGAAAATTATAAAAACTGACCATCCTACTATATTGTTACAGTCTTTATTTTACAGTTAAAATATACGTTTATTAAAGTCTAATGTTACAACTAATCAGGGATCCCTTTAAACATCCAAACGTGGGGTGTGTAGTACTTGTATATCCTGAAAGCTCCTGGCAGCACCGCCAAACCGAGTAAATCAACAGACTCTAACGCCTCCTCTGCGATTTCCTCCAGCACCTCCACTTCCTGATGTTGTTGCCACGGCGACAGCTTCTCCCAAACACTCTCAGCTGAGGAGTCACCAGAAAAAGACACGAAACAGGAACAAAGTGGAGGACACTCTGCCACGCTGACTCAGCCCCAGTCAGCACCGGCGAGTTAAAATGGTGTTATCGTGACCTCAGGCCAGAGCGACCTGCCCTTACTGTGATGCTCCTGAAGCATCTCTCTGTAAAGCAAGTGTGCGACCGCGTCGTACTTCACTTCCACCAACAGGAGGACGTCCGACAAGGAGACGCAGCCCCACGCCTGGCTTTGAATGCCTAGCGTTGGACCCTGCCAGGGAGACGGCAAAAGGCCTCGCACGCCCAATGACGCCAGTCTAAAAAGGAACATTAAAAGAATTTATTAAACAGACACTTCAGTGTTTAAGGGTGACTCAAAGTGAGCAACAGCTGGAGCTGAAGCAAGATAGATTTGTGTGTATTAATCAGCTTTATTGTTTCTGCTGAGTCGGCATTCCAGCTGTTTTCTTCTTTAGAGTTTCCTGCAAACTGCTGCATACTTTGTGCTATTTTACCATTCAAATCTCTAAACATTCAGCTAAATCAGAATGCTGAGACTTTTGGTATGCTTTTCAAAATATTTTACTTTATTTACAAAGGTTTACTTCATAGACTGAAATCTTTTCAATATCTTCAAAACTGTTACTTTTGAAACTTCAATAAATTAGCTTCAATTTGGGTAAATTAAGTTCTCTTTACTGTTAAGCTAATTTTAAATATCTACTTGTTTCAGCTTTTACCTTCTTCTGGTATTTATTGCTAATGTTTTTCTACATATTGTTTTTAGTATATCACATTTTAAGTTTTTAGCAACTGTTTCTTTTAGCTTTTAGTTTGCTAATTTTTGCTTTTAGCTACTTTTAGATAGCTTTTAGCTCCTGTTTTACTCATTTGAGCTTTTTGTTACTGTTTTGCTAGTTTTAACTTTAACCTGCGTAATTTTAGTTTTGGTCATTTTAGTTTAAAGATAAAATTTAAACTTTTTATTGCTTTAGCTTTTTGCTCCTATTTGACAGGTTTTAGCTTTCTGCTGCTATTCTGCTTGTTGCAACTTCTGTTTTGTTTTAGCTTTAATAACTGAGTTTTAGCTTCTTCAAAAAATTTCATCAGTCATTCATCTCTCAGCATTAACAATGCACTTTTGACAAAACTGCAAATTTTAGTTAGCAAAATCTGGTTTATTTTTATTTTATTTTTTTTTACTAAACACAAACCTCTAAAAGGCAGTGTAAAATCAATATGTCAAAAGAATTTAGAGAAAACATTGATTTCGGTGCTTTTTAGAAGTTTAAAAAGTTGAGTTAATGAAGAAGCTCACAGAGCCCAGCTGTGACCGGCTGCCTTCTTCAGCCTCCTCACGTTTGCTTTGTTGTGGCCGAGTTTCTTTTCCCCCAGCACACCCCTGGTCTGAGAGGGGAAAAAAAGACAGACAACCAGACAGATTTCATTGAACATGCAAAGTACCTCCAGACAAAGTGGCTCTGCATATCTATTAATCCCTGGCTACTCACCAGAAACCAGGCAGTCTCAGTTGTGTGTGGCCAAATGGATCTAGAATCTGAGTCGGGGGTGTTTTTGAAAATATCAGCATCACTTGGATGTGAGCGATCCACCAAGTGAGGAAGATTCCCAGTATTTAGAAGCTGAAAGTTCCAGTACAACTAAAGAAAAACAAAACTGTTTAAACTTCTTCATTTTCTTGTATTTTTAGAAAGAAGTTTTTTTTTTTTTTTTTACCATTTCCTTTCTTTCTCGCTCCCTTTCCATTTCTATGAGAACGTCCAAAACATTTTCACCTGAACAGGACCAGCTTTTGTCACCTCCAGCAACCTGAAACACATATACAGCGGGTAAAATAAGTATTGAACGCGTCAACATTTTTCTCAGTAAAAATATTACTAGAGGTGCTAATGACATGAAATTTTCACCAGATGTCGGTAACAACCCAAGTGATCCATACATACAAAGAAATCAAACCATAAATGTCCAGAAATGAAGTTATTTGTAATAATGTGGAATGGCACAGGGAAAAAGTATTGAACACACTTACTGAAATTTATCTAATACTTTGTACAAAAGCCTTTGTTTTAAATGACAGCTTCAAGACACCTCCTGTATGGAGAAACTAGTGGCATGCATTGCTCAGGTGTGATTTTGGCCCATTCTTCCACACAAACAGTCTTCAAATCTTGAAGGTTTCGTGGACCTCTTCTATGAACTCTGATCTTTAGTTCTTTCCATAGATTTTCTGTTGGATTCAGGTCAGGTGATTGGCTGGGCCATTCCAGCAGCTTTAGTTTCTTTCTCTGAAACCAACTGAGAGTTTCCTTGGCTTTGTGTTTGGGCTCATTGTCTTGCTGAAATGTCCAGCCACGTTTCATCTTCATCATCCTGGTAGATGGAAGCAGATTTTTTATCAAGAATGTCTCTGTACATTTTTCCACTCATCCTTCCTTCAATTATTTGAAGTTTGCCAGTACCATATGCTGAAAAACAGCCCCACACCATGATGTTCCCACCTCCAAACTTCACTGTTGGTATGGTGTTTTTGGGCTGATGTGCAGTGCCATTTGACCTCCAAACATGATGTGTATTCTGGCATCCAAACAGTTCAATGTTGGTCTCATCTGACCAGACTATATTCTCCCAGTATTACACAGGCTTGTTTAAATGTTGTGCAGCAAACTTTAAAGGAGCTTCAACATGCTGTTTCTTCAGCAGTGGAGTCTTGCGTGGTGAGCGTGCACAGTGCATTACTTATTGTTTTCTTTGAAACAATCGTACCTGCTAATTCCAGGTCTTTCTGAAGCTCTCCACAAGTGGTCCTTGGCTCTTGGACAACTCTTCTGATAATTCTTTTCACTCCTCTGTCAGAAATCTTGTGAGGAGCACCTGGTCGTGGTCGGTTTATGGTGAAATAATGTTCTTTCCACTTCTGAATTATGGCCCCAACAGTGCTCACTGGAACCTTCAGAAGTTTAGACATTCTTCTGTAACCGATGCCATCATTATGCTTTGCAACAACAATAAGGTTGTGAAGGTCTTGAGAGAGCTCTTTACTTTTACCCATCATCAGATGGTTCTTGTGTGATACCTGGCCATCATTTGGGACTGAACCAGCTGATATTAACTTGCACTGACAAGGGGCAGGCTTGTTTTCTAATTACTGAGAGAGTTCAGCTGGTGTCTTTGCTTTCCATGCCTTTTTACACCTCCCTTTCTTCATGTGTTCAATACTTTTTCCCTGTGCCATTCCACATTATTACAAATAACTTCATTTCTGGACATTTATGGTTTGATTTCTTTGTATATGGATCACTTGGGTTGTTACCAACATCTGGTGAAAATTTCATGTCATTAGCACCTCTAGTAATATATTTACTGAGAAAAATGTTGACGTGTTCAATACTTATTTTACCTGCTGTATTTGTCTTTAGTTTTACTTTTAGTTCATTTTTGTTCAGTTCTTTTTGAACAACAGTGGAGATCAGCTTTGCGTGGTAGAGCTTTATTATCTGTTATTTTTATAAATTATAACTGTGTGATGCGTCTTACATCAAACTGATAAGATTAAGTTTAGAATTAAAATTTCAACTTTTCTGCTTTGAAGCAAGAACATTTTCTATTTGTGGGGGAAGTGGATCTTTTTCTCTATATTCATTTCAAAATTATGCTTGTTTGTTTTAGAAATAACATAAAACACTATTTCATGTTGGCTCAAACAATTCTATATGTTTATAAAAGAAACACCACCAACAAAAAAATTTTTTTTGTTCAACTAATTCCTCCTGTTGGAAGACGAATTGATGTGGTGCTGCTTTGATGTTTCCTCAAAATGTCAGAATGTTTACCTTCTTCATGGCTGCACGCGCTTCATCAGTGTTGGAGGAAACATGAAACACTTTATCGAAGAGGAAGCTGACATCTTGGGAGGAAAACTCTCCTCCAGCAGACAGACCCAGAGAGGCGTACAGAGCAGAAACACAGTCCTGAAGTCCACAGTCCATTTTAGTCAGGTGTTTACAGCAACAATAACAAATGCAGTTCAACCAATACAACCTACTTCCTCCATGTTTGCAGCATCCTGAGCTGATGAATTATACAGGGTCTTGCCATGGTTACAGCAGCGGGATCAGTTTACAGAGCAACAAAAAGTGACCACATGTCCCAGCGAAACATGATGCGGAACCACTGAAATCTGAGAGAAAGTGGTGGATCCTCACTTACAACAAATTATCTTGATTTATTCATTTATTTTTACACCTAAAATTCATTTTAGTCACTCTGTGTGGAAATAAACTAACAGGGGATCAATGATTAAAAATGCCTCAGAGTGACTTATTTACTTTTTAACATAAAACTGTGCAACTGAACTTATAACTTAAATGTGATTATTATCACTCCTCACTGATAGACAGACAAGAACTGTTTGTTTTCTTAAATTTAGTAGTTTCAGAATCAGAACACCAAAGAAAAAACATAAATAGTCAAGCTTCTGTTTATTTGTGAACTAACAAATGAAGAGCACCTGAGATTGTTAATTATTGTACATACAGTCAGACATTGCACATACTTTTAAGCTGCACAGTAAACAAATTATTTTTTACTGGCGTTAAATCTGCTACACTGTAAAAAAAACAAAAACAAAACAAAAAAAAAATAGTGAAAATAAAAATGATCATTAAATTGCGTGTTTTATAAACACTCAGTGCTACATAAACCAACATCTTGGGTCAATATGTAAAATCCACGAGGTGCAGCTGGATATTTTTCCTGTTTTTGGAATAAAACATGAAGAAAACAGGGGATGCGGTACACGTGAGTGTAGAAATCTGTGTGTTTTTGTGACTGAGCAGCTCAGGGATCATAACTGGTGGCCGTGGATGATTTTTGGACACTTCCCTGGGGGTATGCAGTAGCTGTTGTGCAGAACCAGACCAGCGGGACACTGGCAGCCCGGGACACAGGGCTTGAAGCAGTGGCTCTCTATCACGCCCAGCGGCACGTCGACGTTGAAGCACGTGACGGGACACGGTGGGCCGCACTCGTCAAACACGAAGCCCCTCTCCACCGGGCAGCCTACAGCTGTTAAACAGAGAAAGGACAGAAAATAAAACAGAAGACAGTGGCGACACCAGGAATGGTTTAATACGGAGGCCATGTGGGGGAGCCATTGTCCCCCTGTGCCCTTGGTGGCACACCTGGGTAAAGACTCTAGTTTAAAGCATGTGTATAAAATAAAAATAAATGTGTTCCCCTGTAGCATGTGGTAATGCTGTCAGCAGTGGAATTACGACAGCTTTACGGCTGCCGTGAGTTGTTCTGAAACGTTGTGATCAAGTGTAAATAAAAAGCAGATGCTGTAAACACAGTGGTTACCTGCACATTTCTAGATATAATATCCCCCCCTTCACTCCGTCTAATCTGATCCCCCTGAAGGTCAATCTGAAGCTGCACAGAATGAACAATTCAACACAAGTATTCTGAACGGCTGAACGATTTTTTTCTTTTGGGAGGCTGGGTTCTTCGGACTCATTCCCTCTAAACTCACTTACTCCTCTGGCTAATAAATGTGCTCTTGCTTTGTAGAGTTTTTTATTTATTAAATTTTTTTATAAACACCATAGTGTATCATATTTTGTTGATATAATATGATGTTTTTTTTCCTTCATCTAAACTTCTGTGGTATTTTGTTTTTCTTTTTAAAGGTAGTGCGACCCCTGCTGGTTGCTGCATGAACTGATCACCTGTTACCCCATGTTTTTGTCATGTGCGTGTCTTCTTGAATGGGTGTTCTTAAGTGTAATTTCATTGTGCTCTGTACAATGACAATAAAGGTATCAGTCAATCAATCAATCAATCAATCAACCAACCAACCAACCAACCAACCAACCAGCCAGCCAGCCAGCCAGCCATCAATCAATCAATCAATCAATCAATCAATCAATCAATCAATCAATCAATCAATCAATCAATCAATCAATCAATCAATCAATCAATCAATCAATTTACACAAAACAAAGATTTCTGTTTTCACACATTTGAGAATTTTTTTTCTTCCGTATGTTTTTCGGCAGGTACCTTGTTCCACATTTTTTGTGCAATTTCAACAATTCCTACATCAAAATGTTCAAATTCTTTAGGACATTCCTGCAATGACTTTTGGTATTTCAGAAATTTATACTTTCTGAGATATTTAGCTTTTTTTCAGCCACACATCAGAGGCATTGAGGGTGAGATGTCTTGCCCAAGGACACAACAACTGAGACAGCTGGTACGGGGGATCTAACCAGTAACCTACTGGTTCCAGGGCAACTCCTGTAACCGCTCTGCCACAGCCGCAGCTATCTTTCTGGTCTTTTCAGTTTTTCTGCTAATTTAAGCTTTTTCTGTTAATTTAAGCTGTTTTCTGCAATTCAGGCTATGTTTTAGCTATTTCAGCTAATGTTAGCCTTTTTCACCTAAATTCACCATTTTGTGATAATTTTCTTTCAGCTGCTTAATCCAGCAAACAAATCAGAAAGCAGAGCTCTGTCTGCTTCTTTATGTTAGATTCAGGTACTTTTTAGCTACTTTTCTGCTATTTTCAGTTTTTTTGGCTGTTTTATATTATTCAACAAATGGCACAAATTGTACATCTTTTCTTTCTGCAAAAATCTTTCATCATTTGTTAGATTTTGTAACAAAAACAGAAACCCTGTGACTGCTCACCACACAGCGACGCGCTCCTCCACTGCAGGACGACCCCGGCCTCTCTGCACTGACTGGCGTATGCCTCCAGCGTGTCGCACAGACACTCGTCAGAGTTGGATCCACAGGCACAGAGGTCGTACACGCAGGCGCCGTACCACGGTTCAGGGGGGATGACTCGATGACAGGGCTTGAAGGCAGCAGACTTCAGGACTCTGCAGCGAGCGTTCGCCCCCTTTTTGGCCTGGTATCCTGCACTTCTACAGGGACCAACATCCTCGCCGGGATGGCAGGAAGAGAGGGCGTGGTTTCCGTTGGTCACCTTAAATAAGAGGTGTTTGATAAGCAAACAGTCAAGCCAGATGTTTAATCTCGTCTTTTTTTAACTTACTCTCCAGCTGTTGCCAAACTCCGCTTCTGATTGGCTGATTTGGCCGTTAGGCATTTGGAGGTCATCCTGGTGAAAGCTGTTGAAGTTTCCACAGAGACCACAGGTTTGACCCTTGAATGAACCCGGCACGCTCACTTCCAGGTGTGAGCGAGGTCTCCACAGCACCTAGAGGTAAACTTGTAGTCGTGAAAGTGTGTTTCACAAGATTTTTAACACTATGGACTCTGTGCTTCTGTACCTTCAGACCAATGTTGGTGTTGAGCAGGACGGTGTTGGTTTGTCGCTCTACAAAGACGTACGGCTCACTAAGGAAAGGCAACGCCACAATCTCTTCATTTACCTGGAGAATTAAAAAAAGCACGACTGAGTGGATGTGTAACAATTATGTATATCATAATTTGCAGCTCAGTCGCACACAAACCTTAACAACCCAGTCTTGGAGGAGCTGCACGGTGACATTTCCGAGAAAGACCGTCACCTCTTTAGTCCAGGACACTCCGTTACGTCCACGATTATCATTTGTAGCGTGAACACTGTTCAAAGATAAATCCTAAAGTTTTTGCTGCACAAAAGTGGCCAAAATTTCTGAACTCAAACTAAAAAACAAACAAAACTTTTTAACAATTTTCATCATTTCATTTGATCATTTTAGGTGAAATTATTTCTCAATGTGTGCGACCCAAATACAAGACGCAGCTGACAACCCTCTCACCTGAAGGCTCCGCCTGAACAGTCCTGCGTCAGGACGTACGTGCACGCTCCCTGGAAGTGGAACATGCGGCCATCGAAGGTGCGATAATGAGGATCGCCGAAGGTGATGCAGGTAGCCGGACGAGGGAGACAGTGAGGACAACACAAGCCTGGAATGACTGCAAGCATCTCGTCCTGAAGCCAGACACACACAGACACACAAACTGTGCCTCACTGAGAGCTGAGAACGTGAACTGACTGTGAAGTTCCAGTGGAATTGCCATGGTGGGAACACTTCTGACACGAATGGTGTGTGTTGTAATACTGACGGCTGCACATGTGAGCGGAGGGCAGCGTTCGCTCCTACAGTGCACGTCTCCAGACACACACGTGCAGCTGGTGCACTCGTCCACCTCCCACTGCTCATCAGAGCGATACAACAACCCCTGGTACAAACACGACTCCCCCGAGTCTGTAACGCAAAAAGAAAAGACTTTGTCAGACCTGCAGAGTACAGTACAGCTGTGGGAACTCGCTTCATGTTTCATGTCTCATGCCTTGGCATTCGTGGCAGCATTTTCCCGGAACTTTCACTTGTTTCTGGCCATCCTCACAAACAGCAGGTTCGCAGTCTTCAATGCTGCACTCGATGTGGCCCCACTGAGGATGCAAACGAAGCAGATTACTGAGGTAGAAGCAAAAATGTATAAATAATATTTGCACAAGTTCAATTTGAATTATCAAATAATAAATTATATTCAGCTTTAAACACATTGGGGGTTAAATAATTTTCAATAAACGATGCGTTTCTGTTTCTTGCATTAATCAACTCTGGATTTAAAGTTCCTGGAAGGAATGCACATCTCCTGCAACCTTCATGCCAGAGATGAATCACCAGAATCATCCTGTGGTGAGAAATGGCGACGTTACAACTGTTTTGGTGAAACCTTGAAAATAAAATTATGCACAATCTTCAATATCATAGGAGACCTTCAACGTATATGTGGGGTGTGATTTTCAGCTCCAAATCTGAGCAAAATATTTGTAAAATCCACCAATTTACAACAATTTTTGTGCTTTCAAAGCTGAGTTGTGGCAACCATCTTTGAAGTGAATTGACTCCAACAGTTAATCTGTTTTAGAGATGGAGCAAATGATTATTACTTTATTCATGAGATATTCTAATGGTAATTGTGCAAAAATGTCTGGCTCACGTTACAAACACACGTGACACAATTGTCATCGCTGTCCGTCCAGCTGGTGCTGCTGGTCACGCGCCTGTTTTGACCCTCGATCACACATTCTGGGATGAACACATAAAAAAAACCTTGTTATAAAATAAAAGCTAAATAAATCCTAAAGGCAGCAGCTGTTGTGCGTCTCACCTTCACACACCGGGCAGCATGAATCTGGGAGAGTGAACTGTTCAGTGAGAGGACAGGCAAGCGGTGGGCATGTTTGCTTTAAGCAGGTCCATGTCAGATCCTTGTTTGGAAACACAAACACAGGAATAGTTTAATCTATATAAAAAAACCTCAAAAAGTAAAGGTGTAGTAAAGGATATTTGTTTACCTGGCACTGGCAGGTGAAACAGGGGTCATCTGTTGCCAACACCTCATTTCCAATCAGTGTCGTTGTACAGTTGGTGAGAGGCTCTAAACATAGAGACATGTTGATGAAGTTATTACAGAAATAACACATCTGCTTCCAGTGGTTTCATACTGACGTGCACAGACAGGACAGCAGGACTCCGGTCCGGAGAAAAGGATTTGGTTCTTGGGACAGTTGACCAAACTGGGACATTGCTTTTTGTAACACTTCAGGTGTTGCTCTCCGTCTGGCATCACCTAAAATCCAAAAGGGATCAGATCACAACTGCAGTTTTACTATAAAGTAAAATCGCTAAATCACTTAAAATAACACAGTTAACTGCAGAAACATTTGGTTATGTGTAACAATTTTCTAATTTTTATACAATCAACACAAACACAGACAAAACGAGCTAAAGGAACTTTAAAAGAAATACAAAAATCAACATAAAATATCTGTCAGCTAGAAAAAAAAAGGATTTTCTACATAAAAGCACAGTTTGAATGCTGGGTGCTGCATGCATTGCAGAAATCTGCTAGCTAAATGCAAAAAGTAGTAAAATGTGAGCTGAAAGCTACCTTAAGCTAAAATTGGGAAATAAAGACAAAAAAAGAGCAAATATGCTTAAATAAATCTCATGTTTTTTAAGGGATCTGTTTTTTTTTACACTAAGTTGCACAAACCAGACGTTAGATAGCCATAACTGAACATTTTGACATTTGAATGATTGAAATAGTTTAATATAATACATCTACACTAAAGCTTCACAATAATTGTTTTTTTTTTGTACCTCACACGTGCAGATCTGACAGGGGTCATCAGCTGGTTGGAAACTGTCTCCGGGGCTGTACACTCTGCCCTCAAACACACAATCTCCTCAACAAGAAACACATGGAATTATCTTTCATAGAAAAACAAAACAACTGATTATTTAATTTTGTGCTTCAAACTCTTTTAGATGTGTGGGAAAACCTTTTAAGAAACATGTGAACTTGCTTACCTGCACACACCGGACAGCACTCCCCGGGCACGTTGATGAAGTTTACACAAGGAGACAAACAGCGCACCTCAGAGCAGGTGGTCACTCCATCCACACACTGACAGGTCATGCAGGGGGTGGAGTCTGCGAACCAGCTGCTGCCCTCTGCATGCTCCTCTCCTCCATACATACAACCTGAGAGAGAGAGAGAGAGAGAGAGAGAGAGAGAAAATGCTGATCACTTCCTGCCTTTATGTTACAATAATAACAAGCGGTCTATTACCTCTGCAGTGAGGACAGCAGGATCCTGAATCAGTCACCTGATGCAGACAGGGCAGCTGGGGACACTCAGGTGATGAACAATGCACCTCACCTCCCTGCCGCGTTAAAACATGAAAGGAGACATATCATGCTTTTAAATCTTTCTTTTTCCACATTTAAATCATTCAGTTGGGGTCTGTATGAAGTGGAACTGCAATGATTTCCTCCTTATTGTCAGCAGCTGTGGCTACAATGTAGCTTAGCATCATCAGTGTGTGAATGGGTGAATGACTGTAAGTGTAAAGCGCTCTGGGGTCCTCATGGGGATGATAAAGTGCTACTTAAGTTCAGACCATTTACCTTAAATTGTAGCTCCACAAGCCACTCTTTCACCCCTTTTCAATGATGTGTCTCAGATCAACCCGTTTTGACACTGTCTCTTTAAATCCAAATGAGGCGTGTCATACCCCCTCCCCCCTCCCCCCAGCTTCCAGACTGGTCCATTTTAGTTTGATAAAGGGGTTTACAGCTGCATAGCAGCACAGTCCTATTTAAACCCAAAGACATGAAGAGGTGTTTGTGAGAAAAAAAAAAACGAATAAAAGGTCACATGCAAACATGAGAAAGTCAAACCTGGCAGGTGCAGGTGAAACAACGGTTTGAGCTCAGCCGCCAAGTCTGCCCGTCACTGAACTCCTGTCCATCCAGCACGCACCCTGAGACTCAAAACACAGAGAGAGATAGCGAAAAAGAACACAAGAGGCTCAGAGTTTGTTTGAGAAAACCTTTCGAGGAGCACCTGTGCACTCTGGACAGCACTGCCCTGGCCGGGTCACGGGCCGAGCGCAGGGCGCTGGCGGGCAGACGAGGGGCACACAGGAAACGGTGCCTCTGACACACGTGCATCGCTGGCAGGGGTTGAAGAGAGAAGTGAAGACGTGAGCGTGATGGTGGACGACGCCCTCATACAGGCAGGAGTCACAAACAGGGCAGCAGTTCTCTGAAGGGACGGGATGTGAGCATTGGACTGGACAAGATCTCCTCTGACAGCTCACCACCTCATTCTGATTAAAGGGAAACAAAAAATTATTTAAATTAAGAACCTTTTTTTTCATACTTAGTAAGAAATGTTGGACTGACCACGCAGGAGCAGGTAGAGCAGTGATCAGAGCGTGATGTAAAGGTGGAGCCAGATGGATACTCTTCACCCTCATGAAAGCACTTCCCTGTGCAGACAGGGCAGCACTCCCCAGAAGGGGTCTCTGGGTGCTGACAAGTGGGGGGTGTACAAGCTACAGATGCACACAGCACCCTGCCATTCTGCACAGACACACACACTTTAGATTAAAAGATGAAAATGTTTTAAAATGATCCACGTTTAGTTGTAACATTAGACTTTATTTGATAAACATTTATTTTAACGGTAAAATAAAGACTGTAAAAATACTGTAGGCTGTTCAGTTTTGTAAATTTAAAAATATATATTTTAACATGGACAGAGCCATTTTATTTACATGCAAAGTATTCTGGGTAAACGATGACGTGGATAGGTCCTCGGTGTGAGTGAGCTATATCCACCCTGAAGGTTAATCTTGGACAATATCTGATGATCGACTCTTTTAAATGAAACCAGAGAGCGTTGACAGAGAGGAGAAGGTAGAAATGACTCAGCCTGGAACTGAAAATATGGATGGAGGACAACAGAGCTGCTTCATGGAAGAAGAACCTCAGCTTAGCCTGTTAGCCTTTACGCTAGCACCAACGCTAAATTGCCTTATATGTATTAGCTCGACATTAGTGCAACAAACTAACAAGCTAAACTGAGGTCCTCCATCCATATTTTCAGTTGCAGTGTGAGTCAATTTTGTGTTCCCCTCTCTGTCATGTGGATGGAGGACCTCAGTGATGAGAGGAGAATGTAGTGCTGGGCTAATACATATATATRRTGATAGCATCRGKGCTAMTGCTAAAGCTAACAGGCTAAGCTGAGGTTCTTCTTCCATGAAGCAGCTCTGTTGTCCTCCATCYATATTTTCAGTTACAGRCTGAGTCATTTCTACCTTCTCCTCTCTGTCAACGCTCTCTGGTTTCATTTAAAGAGTCAATCGTCAGATATTGTCCAAGATTAACCTTCAGGGTGGATATAGCTCGCTAGCACCGAGGACCTATCCACATCAACATTTACCCAGAATGCTTTACGTTTAAATAAAATGGCTCCGTCCGTGTAATATATTTTTAAAGTTTTAGTTTAAAAATTATAAAAACTAAACATCCTACAGAATTTTACAGTTTTTATTTTACAGTTAAAATATATGTTTGTCAAATAAAGTCTAATGTTACAACTAATCATGGATCCCTTTGATTTTAATCAACTTTTTCAGAATCTGTGGCATGTTATTTTTCCGTTAGTATTGGTGCGACTTTACCAAACATGTGCAGTGCTGACAGGGGTCTTCAGGATGCTGGAATTGCTCTCCATTGAAACAGTCTCTTCCATTAAAGTTGCACCGGTCACACTCTCCACATGCACAGCTGTCCAGAGCTGGGTGGGAGCAGGACACAGCAGGGCACCTTCTCCGTGCACACACCACCTCACCTCTCTACAGAATAAAGAAAATAAGATGTGAAACAGGGCCGACTCTAGCCAATTTGGCACCCTAGGCCAGATTTATTGCGGTGCCCCTTATGCAATTTTCTAAATATCACTTCCAATTTACCTACAATCACGTCCTAAAACATTTTTTTATCTTTAGAAACCAGTTTGTCCAATTAAAATAGTTATCAATATAATTTGAAACAGAATACCAGAAGTGCCTAGATTTGCTGAGAGCAATGAGGAACACCTGTTCATGTTAACCAGCAGCTGTGGAGTGAAGCAGTCCTAGGGAGTTTCAGGGGTATACTCCCTTATAAATTTTTGTCAAAGATAAAGTCAAAACGATGCATTTCTAGTCTTTTGAAGAGCCTTTTACTAAACTTTTGGGATTAATAAAACAACCTAAAATCAGTATTTTATAAAGGTAGAAAACTGAAAACCAGACTTTTACCTGAACTTTATCTGAGATCAGAACTGAAACTTCAATTATGCTTACTGGTATTTTGTTTTCTGTTTACACACTGAGTAGTTAGTCTTGACTGCATCATACGATACTTTAATCACAAAATATCCTCTGCACCATATAACCACATGTAGAAACAGAACTAGTTACCTTTATAAACCCGAGTAACAGTGATTATTCCACAGACTAAAATATTATTCATCCCCCATTTGTGGCAACCCCAATGGATGGCGCCCTTGTCATTTGCCTTTACTGCCTATGCTCCCCTGTGCAGCCGTCAGTATGAAGAATGGGCTAACTTCCACTTACAGAACATGTACAGTCCTGGCACGTATGTTTTACCCCTTGGAGGACCTGTCCATCAGCATACGTCACGCCCTGGAAATAACAACCTGCTCAAACACATGGAAGCTTCGATTACTCAGCAACTCCCAAACAGGTGAGCTTTGATGTGTTGTGAGGCGATTACCATTACAGACAGGGCAGCCACATGGGTTGGTGACAGGGTGAGGACAGAGAGCCGCTGGACATGACTTCCTCACGCATCGAACTGAGCCACTCTGAAAGAGAAACGAGCTTGCTAAAATAAGTAAACAGCAGGTGGAAGGCACTCTGTTAACGTTGACGATACCTGGCAGATACATTCAGAGCAGGGGTCCCCCGGGTCAGCGATAGACTGTCCACTAAGAAGAACCGCATTGTTATAGGAGCAGCCTGACAAATAAAAACAGGTTTTTGGGGTCATTTTGTAAGTTTTTGACAAAAAACAATACAAAACAAAAAAAAACATACGGTCACATTCTCCACAGCATTGCCCAGGAGGTTTGTATGGGTGGTTGCAGTCTCCATCACACGGTAGCTTGGTGAAGACGATGTTACCTCTGTAACAAGAGCACACCCTGCAGGGGTCTTTGTCATCGCCGAACTCAGTGCCGTCAGGAATTTCTCTACCATTATACGAGCAGCCTGCAAGAAAAAGGAGAATTTGATTAATTTTCTAGAAGCTGTTCATTCTGAAAAGTTTATAAACCCTTATCAGAAAAACTGGGATAGTGAAATACAACATATTTAGATTCAGGATCAGGAGAGGGGAGAAATGGGGCTTGGTCAACCCCAGTTGGGTCACCTGGATGAGGGAGTCTGATTGTCGACCAGAAACCCCTTATGATCCCGGGTTACAACACTGATAACATTTCCAGGAGCACCACAAGGTTGTGTATTAAGAGCGTTGCAGAATGCTTCTATGGCTATTTCTTATTAAAACCACTTATTTTCCCAGTAGCACCTGTCACCTCCTTTTGTTATGTGTTGCTTCCATCAAATTCAGAATTATCTTATTTTTTTCCAAAACAAAGTTACAATTTCATTTTGTTTAAATATTTGATTTTATTGAGAATAAAATAAATTTTGTTTTTATTTACATTTTAGTTTTCAGACTTTTAGTTAAGGTGTTTGAGTTGCTCACCATCACAGGACATGCAGCACCGTCTCTGCACCGGGTGTTGGCAGTTGGACGGCGGACAGCGTTTCCTCTCACACTGAACCGAGCCTTCGCGACAAACACACTCCACGCACGGGTCTGACGAATCGTCCCACCTCTCGCCGTTCGCTCGTTCTCGGCCTTCGTGGGAGCAGCCTGCGAGAAGAGACTTTAAAGCATCAAGATTGTTTCGTCTTTTAGGTGCCGGGGCTGTCTGAACCCGTACCTTGGCACGACCGGCAACACTCTTGCGTGACGGGGTGAGAGCACGGAGCGAAAGGGCAGGGCTTGTGCTGACAGTGGACCGAGCCGTTGTTGCACACGCATGTTTGGCAGCTGTCGGTCGGCGGGTGGAAACGCTCCGTGTGTCTGTAAGGCCTCTGCTCGTACACACAGTCTGATGGAGGGTCTGAAGGAGCAGGAAAACAAGCACCAAGAAACTTTAACGTAAAGAGAATATAAAACTGTTTCTGTGATACATAAAGAAAGAAGTTATTACAATTACACTAACTGTTTAATATGTCTTATATTTTAGGTTTTGTAGGGAAGTGAATTTATTATTTTCATTATTGCTTACCACTAAAGGTGAACGTGTTTTCACCCGTGTCAGATTTATTTGTCTGTTAGAAAAATATCTCATAAAACAATGGATGGACCGTTAGGAAGTAATCATTGGATGATAACTGAATCTACAAAACCTAAAAATATTTACAACCCAGTCGATTTATGAAGATATAAAAAGAAAACAAAATCCTAATTTCAAGCTTGTTCTTATTTTTATTTTTAGGTTTGTTTAACTTTACTCTTGTATTTGTCAACATAATGTTTAATGATTTTTGTGACGTGTGTGTTACAGGTCTCTCTTGTAAATGAGACTACCGGTCTCAATGAGATTACCTGTCAAAATAAAGTAGAATAAAATTTATAAATACTGAGCTACAATTCAGAGTGGTAGTAACTGAGCGTAATTAACGTGGTGCGCTATCGTTGCTTAACACTTTGCTATTAAACATCTATAGGTGTCAACCCTGTTTGTTAGCAAAAGATCTCATGAACCACTGGGTGAATTTAAAATCAACTTGTCACTTGTACATCCTCACCTGGACACTGGGGGCAGCAGTCTCCTGGGAGCATATTTGGGTTGGAGCATGATGGTGGTGGACACCTCCTTGATGAACACTGAACGTTCCCATTCTATAACAAGAGAAACACAAGCTGAAATGAAAACAGGACCGACTGCAGGCACAGAAGGAGGCGAGGATATTCTCACTCTGCAGCTGCACGTCCTGCAGGGGTCAGATGGATGTTGAAAGTCCTGCCCGTTTGGATACTCTTTCCCAGCGTAACCGCAGCCTACAGGAAGTGGAAAGTGCTGATTGTTTGTGAGTTCTGTTTGGTTTGTTGATGAGAGTTTAGTATTTTGTCACCATTGCAGTTGTTTTTGCAGCACGTTCCAGGCAGCGGGGCGTTACAGTTAGGACGAGGACACTGAGGTCGGTGGCAGTCAATCCTTCCGCTCACACACCGACACTCCTCACACACACTCACGGGATTGGGGAAAGCCTCTCCGTCCACAAATATGTGGTTTTCAAAGGAGCAATCTGTCAAAAACAATAACAAGTGCTGTTGATCAAAAACAGTATTGTGTTAGTATTTATGTGGACTTAAAGAAAGCGTTTGACACCATTGATCACTCTATTCTCCTTGAAAAGCTAAATAAAAATGGTATAAGAGGACCAGCATTACAGTGGATATCCAGTTATCTGAATAATAGGAAACAGTTTGTACAGATAAATGATGTAAAATCAGAACTCTGTAATATCACTTGTGGTGTTCCTCAGGGTTCTGTACTTGGACSAAAGTTGTTTATATTATACGTGAATGATTTGATTAATGTGTCAGGACTGTTGAAATGTGTTTCATTTGCAGATGATACAACATTTTTTGTGTGGGAAAAAATATAGAACAGCTGCTGGAAATGATGCAARCAGAATTTGTTAAAATACAAACTTGGTTTAAATTAAATAAATTATCACTAAATTTGGATAAAACTAACTACATGATATTCAGCAAAAAAAAGTCATTGATATTCCATTTAGACTTGAGGGTGTTGAGATTAGTAGAGTCAGTGAGGTGAAGTTTTTGGGTGTCATTATCGATGAAAAGCTGTCATGGAAACCTCATATAAATCACTTAAGAATAAAAATATCCAAATCTATAGCAGTACTGTATAATGTAAGGGACTTATTTAATGACAAAGCTTTGTTTATATTATATAATGCAATAATTGTTCCACATTTGATCTATTGTATTGAAGTCTGGGGAAAAGCATGCAAAACAATTACAAATCCCATCTTTATTTTACAGAAAAGAGCTATAAGAATTATTACCAGAAAACATTACAGTCATCCTTCAAATATATTATTTTATCAATTGAAATTATTAAAATTTTGTGAGTTAGTTGTTTATAATATTTTGCAGGTCATGTATRAAGCACATAAAAATCAATTACCTTTAAATATCCAATTAAATTTTACAAAAAGAGTAAGTAATTACAATCTGAAAGGGCTAGAGATGTTTGTAAAGCCCAAGATTAGAACAGATTTAAAAGACCGGTGTACTTCAGTACAAGGAATAAGGTTGTGGAATAATCTGGAGAGTGGTTACAAAAATGCTGGCTCTCTAAGTCTGTTTAAGAAAATGATAAAAGCTAGTTTGTTGAAGAAATATGAATTCCTGTAATGAGCATTCATGAGAATTGTCGCTCAGGGGTGAGTTGAAGTTTTTTGTTATGCTGTTGGAAGACTATTGTTTTAATTTATTTACTGTTTGAAAAAAGGGGCAGATATTAATAAGATTTTTTTCTTCTTTCTGCTGCCTTTAATTTTATTTGTGATTTGTATTTTTTTGTTGAGTGTATATTATTCGTTGTATGTTTTAATGAAATGAATAAATAAATAAATAAATAAATAAAAATTTAAAAAAATTAAACATAAAAAGGACTGCAGCTCAATATTCCACATAATCTGAGGATTCATACCTTGACATTTAGGGCAGCACTCTCCAGGTGGCGTGTAGGAGTTGGAGCAGTTGAGCCGGGGACAGGTTTGTCTCTCACACCCGACGGTCCCATGCTGAGGACGTGGTGGACATACACGTTAGCTGTGATGGTGGAAAGTACCGGGATGTGTGTTTGTGAACAGAGGCACACCCACCAGGCAAGTGCAGACGTGGCATGGCTGGTCAGGGGTCGTGAACCTCTGTCCGTTGCTGTAGATCCGGTGGTTATAAGTGCAGCTGTCACACACTTCACAACAGGAACCTGGAGAAAGGAAACAAATAACGCAGACATGTTAATAACTCATTTGCAGAGAAGAGTCACAATTCTCACGCACGAACACGACGAGGTCTTACCTGTTGTCTTACTGGGGTGCTGACAGTCAGAGGGGGGACACCGCACGTGCGTGCATGAGATCTCTCCGTTCACACAGGTGCAGCTGGAGCACGGGCCCTCAGGGTGCCAGCTGGAGCCTTCTTCATATTCCACCCCCTCCAATACACAGGCTGCAACGAGACGACGTGTCATGCATGTTAGTCACTGAGGAGCTGGAGCTGCAAGCGTGTGAGTGAGTGTGTGTATTCATAATTACCTTTGCAGACTGGACAGCAAAGATGTGGGTCATGAACAGGGTTGGAGCACCGGACTGGAGGACATTTTTCTTCATGGCAAACTACATTTCCAGCCTAAATCAGAGGCAATTACATGTCAAAAACCGTAAATAAAGATGATTTCAAGTTACAAAAAGATCCTTTTTAGATGTCAAATTCAGGTCCACCTCATAAAATTTGGAATGATTTAAGTCTTCAGAGGACTTTTTAAGGGAAGTCATAAAACAAAGACATCTCTTTTTTAATATGTGTGATTGCTGACTCAGCAGTCAAACAACAGCTGCATCCTTTGTGCTATTTTAACCACTCAAATATCAAAACCTTCAGCTTTTACAATAGTAGTGTGCCATGATATTTGGCTTTAGTACTTTTATACCTTTCAAAATATTGAACTTTATTTGCAATTTTTTGTCACATATTACATCTCTTCAATTCCTTCAAAACACTGTTGTCCTAAAATCCTCTTCAGCATATGGAACTTGTTCTGTTTCTGTCTTTTTATGCTTCATTTAGCTTTTAGCTACGTATGTCTTTGCTAATTTTAGCTTTTAGCTATGCCTTTGCTAATTTTAACTTTTATCTACACTTTAGACTGCTGGATACAGGCACCAGTGATGGCCATGTCCCTGAAAAGAAGAAGTGGATAAAGATAATAGTTGGATAGCTACACTTCTTTATTATTTTTTTGCTCATTTTAGATATTTTCGTTAGATTTTTGGCACGGTGGCCCAGTTGGTAGAGCTGATGCCTCTCAGCAAGAAGGTCACCAGTTCAAATCCCAGCCCGGGGACCTTTCTGTGTAGAGTTTGCATGTTCTCTCTGTGCATGCATGGGTTCTCTCCTGGTACTCTGGTTTCCTCCCACAGACCAAAAACATGACTGTTAGGTTCATTGGTAACTCTAAAATTGTCCCTGAGTGAGAGAGTGAGTGCTCGTTTGTCTCGTTTGTCTCTATGTGTGGCCCTGTGATGGACTTGCGACCTGTCCAGGGTGTACCCCGCCCCTCGCACTGTGACTGCTGGATATGGGCGCCAGTGACCCATGCGCCCCTGAAAGGAATAAGCGTGTACAGAAAATTGATGGATTTTTAGTTACAGTTTTGCTAATTGTAGCTTTAGCTAAGGTTTTACTCATTTTAAATTTTGCCCACTGTATAGCTAAATTTAGCTTTGAGCTACTGTATTGCTTTTTTTTCTTTCTCTTTTTTTCCCCTCGTAGAATTAGCTACCCACACTGCGCAGACTTGCCTTACACCTGCACTGCAGGCAGGGTCCACTCCCAGCAGGGACGAACACTTGTCCATCAGCGTACACCCTTCTGTCAAACTCACACTCTGCAGACACAAACACAATGTTAGAATTTGTTTGTCCCTCAATCACAAACAGAAAATGTGATGCTTAGATCCAGGGGTTAAAAAAAATGGACAAAATCATTTAGCATCCTCACCTCTGCATGTGGGACAACACTCTCCTCTGCGCTTGGCTGGATGTTTACAGTGAGGTGTGGGGCAGGAGGCCTCCATCCGCTCACAAGATACTTCACTTTCCTACAGGAAGAGCAGAGATGGATCAAATGTTTTAGTTTTGTAGGTGATGTCAGATAATAAACTCAAATCTGCGGTGGACATTTCTGTTGAGCGGAAAGGACGTTTGTAATGTTTGTATGTATTATTTAGTGCTATCATCTTATAAAGCTTATTTTAAATGTGATGCTTTTTTCATATGAAAAGGGAACTTTTAAATTATTTTAGATTTGTTTTTTAAAGCATCTTTTTTTTGCTTTAGAAAAGAAAGTGTTAGAATTCTATAGTTTTATCAACATTTTATGACTAAAACCTCGTGGCACTCACAGAGCAGCGGCACTGGACGCATGGATCCCTCCTGGATGTGAACCGTTCACCGTTCACGTACACCTCCGACTCATATTCACACTGCTCACATCTGCAAAATCAGAAAATTGTGGAAAAAACAAAACAGAAAAATTAGGGTTTTGTTTGTTTCCATTGTGAACATTTAAAACTGCTGAATAAAGCTAACGAGGTGAGGATGCTTGTTACCGTGGGCAGCAGTCTCCAGCACGATGCACAGGGTTGGGGCAAGGCGAGGCAGGACATCTGTAAGCTGAACACACCACGTTTCCATCCTGGCAGAAAACCAATAAAAACACACCTCACTAAGTGCGTTTGTTAGTGCATTAAAGCCACAATTCATGCGCAGTGAGAAACCCACCACACATGTACACTCCTGACAGCGGTCTCCTGTGGGGATCACAGCGCCGTTAGGGAAGTCGTGTCCATTCACAGCACAGCCTGTAAAACACACACACTGTACTTTATCTGGTTACACACTCTGCTACGGGGGGGAGACAGGAAAACCCACCCTGGCAGACTGGACAGCAGCTGCCAGGTGGAGGAGCAGAAGGGTTTTCACATGGGGGGCTGCACTTCTCCCTCTCGCAGTGGACACGGCCCTCCTGTGGAGAGGAGAAAGCAGAATCAGCGCAGGTGAAGGGATGAACCAGCAGATGGCTGTAAATGAAACCCACCAAACAGGAGCAGACGTCACAGGGACTCTCTGCTGGCCTCCACCTGGCTCCGTGCTCGTACCTGACACCTGAGTGGGTGCAAGCTGCAAACATAAAATTTAGATGGTAAAAAAAGCTTAGAATAAAATCCTTATGTTTCACTCCATCTAGGAAAAAGATGTTTTTTTTTACATTAGTGCCCTCTACTGTCCTCAACTTTTTATTACATAAGAATTCTGTTCTTTAATTTTGCCACTAACTATTTGACATTAAATCAAACTGTTTGCAAAATATATTATGAACCACAGAACATATTTAAATGAAACGTTCAGGAAATGATTTTTTACATGCACATCCATGACTGATTAGTGTTTGGAATTAACCCAGCTGAAAATGTCTGCCATAGCTAATTGAAAACATTACTTTTCCATTCAAATTACTGTGGTTGCATTTTATTGAACAAATGCCGATCCACTGAAACAAGCCGATGAAACATTTTCCATTGCTTGCATTATAAATAAAGTGTTTATTCTTGTAGCAGAATACAGTATGTATATATA